TTGTTTTAAACCTATAGTTAAAGATTAATCCGTTATAATCAGCTTAAGGTCTTTGGAAGTCCAGGTGGTTTATCGCAAGCTCGCAGTAGGCTACCGTGACAACTTTTGTTAAGTTGGCTCAGTTCAATCCACTTTTAAATATAAAATAATGTTATCTTTCCCTAACAGCTATTATTGCCAAACTCAAGTGGCCTCTTGTAATTAAAAATCCATTCCTCGACAGTAAGATAATAATAATAATAATAATAATAATAATAATAATAATAATAATAATAGGAAAACCCCTTTTTTAGATAAGAGGCCAAAATTAGGTCAGATTAAAAAATACTCTTTTGAAAAATTAATTGAAATATTTTGGCACACCTATATACGCTTGGCACTCTATTGAGCTAAATTTTTTTCCTACTTCCTCCCTATGAAATTTCGTTATTCAACTTTTGGCACTAAATCCACATTTTCATTATAAGTATTATACTCTATCTATAATATCAAATAATAATAATTAGTAGCGCCAATAAATATTATATGATTTATTTAATATTTTAAATTATAATTATCATCATCGAGTATTTAAAATAAATTGGTCGCGCGACGCTACCCAATGTCTATAAAAACTAAGTTATCTCTTAGCTGATTGCCTTGCATTACAAAATAAGTTGTGAAGCTGACAAGGTCGTTAAAAAAATTTTTTTTAATAATTAACAATGAAGAAATATAAATTCAAGGTTTTAATTTGTAATTTTATGGTTTTACAAAGTTTAAAAAATTGAAATAATTTTTTTAAATATTAAGACCTTGTCAGAATCGCACGCAGTAAGGATAAGGCCCCTGCACTAATAGATTACTCTACGCCACGATCCATTTTTAATAATTTATCATTCCTAGAAAATATTTTAATATTAAAATTATATGACACTGAAATTAAGAAGTTAAAAAAATTTTTAACTAATAAATTATGGTCAGAAAAATTTATTTTAAAAATTGCATTTTTAGAGGGTTTAAAAAATTAGAAGTGCAATTTTTTTATAATTAAAAATTATGGTCAGAAAAATTTATTTTAAAAGTTACATTTTTAGAGGCTCTAAAAAATTATTTTTAAAAATTTTTTAACTAATAAATTATGGTCAGAAAAATTTATTTTGAAAATTGCATTTTTAGAGGCTCTAAAAAATTATAAGTGCAATTTTTTATAAATAAAAATCATGATCAGAAAGATTGCATTTTAGAGGCTCTAAAAAATTATGTGTAATTTTTTATGAATAAAAATCATGGTCAGAAAAATTTATTGTAAAAATTCCATCCTTTAGAGGCTCTAAAAAATTATGTGTAATTTTTTATAAATAATTTTCTAGACCTAGTTTATTATTAAAAAAAATCAATTGTCTAATTTCAATGTCATAAAATTATAAAAATTATTAATTTTTGTGTTGTATAATATATTTTATAAATAATAAAATTTTACAACACTTAAAAATATAAAAATGATAAAATAATAAAAATTAGTGCCACGTTTACGTATTTTAGAAATCAATATTTGTTTTTTCTTTCGGCACATTGCGATCGCGACTAATATTAAATCGTGGCACACACGAAGCGTACAATTACAATGTTTATACATTAATTAAATTCTTATTACTTTTATTTTTTTTAAATACAGTAATTATTATTAATATTATTATTTGTTTAGTTACTTATTAGCTTGTTACTTATGATAATTAATATTTATGATTAATAATAACATACGGCGGCTTACAATCAGCCTGGATAATTAAAAAGACGACGCGTGTTTTTGTTTTAAATCTATCGTTTATTATTTTGTCTTTTCTATTCCCTTTGCTATTCCTTTTGTTAATTGTAGGTGTAATTAAATTATTTATACATTACAATATGTGTTTAGATATGTCGTTAATTATTTAAAATTGGCTCTATTAATGATATCGGTGAATTATTTCCCGGTTAATTATTTATACCAAATGCCAATTATAAATTCAGTAACGGTCGTCCTTAAATCAATTTTTTTAATTAATTAATTAATTAATAAAAAATCGGTGATTTAGTAGTAATATAATCAGAATCAATAAATATTTTAAATAATGATAAGCCGCGGATGAATCGCGTATGCACTCTACCTTAATATTAATTATTAAAAAGCCCTGTACTGATGTGTATCTTTCATTCGTTATAATTTTAGATATTTTAATTAATTCTTTTAAATTGCCCTTAACTACTTACTAATAAACCGATACCGATTCTAATCACAGCAATATTTATTGTTGATACACAATCATCTCACTAGATTCATTCTCCTTAAAATAATTCATTTTTTAATTTTTTGGATTGTGTCAAATTAGTCTGATTTTCTGGGGGCGTTATTTTTTTAAATTTGGCGGTAATATTATTTTTTTTTTGTTAATTTTTGTATCACTGTTACGCTGCCTACAATAATTAAATAATATTAATACAACAATTCGTTTAATAATTTACAATTAAATAACAATGAATTAATTTTCAAATAATTTTCCTTAAACAATACTTAAATGTTAGTTTTTTTTTTTTTTTTTTTTTTTTTTTTTTTTTTTCAACAACATATATTCTTCTTTGAACACAAAAATTATAAAAAAAAATTGTAACAATTAATTCTCTTAATTTTGATATAAAAATTAATAATAATAATTTTACTTAAAATAACAAAACAAAACAATAATTGTAGGCATAACAACTTGATAATTTTTTAGAGGTTATACAATATAAATTCATTAAGTACGCCGCCATATTGTTAACCAATGAAATGTTTACAAAGACATAACCTCTATTCGTACAATAAAATAATTGGTAGAGACTGCATTAATTTAATTATTCTATTGCAAATAATTATTAATCAATAATTATATTTTTTAAAACGGAAGATTTTATGGGAAGAAATATTCGCCTCAGCTTCAGTCAAAAACAATTAATTATAAAAACAATAACACATAATTTTAATTAACAATTTTAATATATTAAATTAATTAAAAACAGTAATCGTAAAATCAGTCGAACAAAAATTTAACAAATAAATTTATTTACAATTAAATAATTAACACATTTACTAAAGCCTCGTTAAATCACAGAATTTAATTTTTAGAAACTGAGGCGACAAGGAAGCTCCAATTGGCACAATAGAACAAAATTTTTTTATTTATAATTATAATTGTCAGGTTAAGATATGTACTTCTATGTCTGCTTTGAAGCTACTCGGATATGGATTAGCAATTGTAATTATAATTTATATTAGTAAATATAATATATAAAAAAAGACTTAATTGCTTATCAAGAATATCAGTCGTATTTAAATATGTAATAATAATAATAATAATAATAATAATAAATAATTTATGATAGATAAGGAGAATGATCAAAAACGGAGGGGGGATTTTCCTTTTTCTTCTTTCCATTATTAATTTTCAATGTCTCCTAATGAGAGAACGCACTTTGAACTCTTATCCTCGTATAGCGCTATTTCTTCACTAATTCATTTATTGTATAATAAATATATTTATATATTTTTATGTATATATATATTTATATGATATTTTTATATTTGTTCATATTTTTTAAATTTAAATTCCACAATAACTGCCTAAAAAATCCCTAGATGGCGCCAGCTCAGTCATTAATTCTGCGCATGCGTGCGCACGGTTCCAGGCCGCCATTTTGTGACAACTTTATTAACCACACATTGTTTTCCTTCAAAAAAATGATTAAAAACATAAATTTCTTCTTCAAAAATCTCCGGTTCGAATTATACGAGTTCAATAAACATTACAATTACTTAAGCTCGTTATTAACCGGATTAATTATTACTTTATAATAAATTTCTAATCCTTTTTCTATCAGTAGTTAATTAATAATTAATAATTAATAAATATCCACCCCTCCATCGGTTTAAATAATTAAATTTCGAATTTCTGCATGCAAAAGCTACGCATCTACATTAATTTCGAATTAATAATCTCGTAATTAACCGTATTAATTACTTTTAAGCATACCATTAATTAATTTAATTTGTCGAATTATTAATTTTTAGTTAAATAATTACCAACTATCAGTTAATAAATATTTCTTTCTTCAGTAATTATCATTATTATTAATATTTAATATTCTTTAATATATAATTTCCTTTTTTTTTTTTATTATTTTTTACATAAATTATCGAGACGCGTGAACGGTGCTAATTAAAACGTAAATTTATTAAATAACGAGGATAAAGTTGTGTTATTTAAAAGCGTCAATTCACCGATACATTTCACCTTAAATATTCATTAATAATTATAATAAATATATATATATTATTATTGATATTATCATTAATTAATAATATGTAATAATAATTATAATTACAATGTTATCGGTTAACCCTGTCTGTCCGAATTATTTTTTTTAATTCTCATTTTTTATTTAATAACACGTGTAAAATATCTATCCTCAAATAAACCATTCATTAATCAATGATTAATCTCAATTATAGATAATTAATCACCATTAACGTTCACTCGTCTCCTATCCAGTCGCCGGAGTCGCAGACAAGTAGAAAATACTGACTCCCGGTATTTTTATTTTCAATAATTTTTTTTAACCTCATTTTATTAATTAATTAATATATTTTTTTTTTTGTCTCCCCGTTAATTATTTTTGTTAAATATAAAAATGAAAACTAACGTATCTTTGGCTTGTTCCCTTTACCAATCGGCAGTTTTTAACTGCGATGTCCATATTATTAATTTATTATTTTTTTATTTAATTATCTTTTATATTAGTTTTTAACCTCGTTTTTGTATTAACCATTATTTTAGGTTATCTTCCTGTACAATTTTTTCGGCTTTTGTTCTTTTGTCCTTATTCTTGTTTTTCATTTTCTTCTTTTAATATGTTAAGCGTTAACTTTATTTTTCTTCACGCGTTATTTCTTCTTAACAATTGCATTTTATCAATTAATTAATCACATTAATTAATTAATTAATTTAGTGAATTGGTGACTTGACAATGTGATTCGGTGCGATGTAATGGTAAGCGGGAATCGCCATTCCTGCGGTCTCCATCGATATCCTGTAACAAATATTTTTTGTTATTATTTTTTAATAATATTTAAAAAAATAATCACAAAAAGAAATTTAAAAAATTATCTACAAGTCACGAGGCTTTTTTTTTTTTTTTTAATAAAATTCTGTAACTTTTTTTTTTAGAGTAATTTAAATAAAAAAAAAAAAAATGAAAAAAAAGTTATAGAATTTGAAAAAAAAAAAAAAAAAAAAAAAAATTACACGGAAAGAATAAGGTAACACTGGATATAATCCCAAATTATACTGAGTATATTCTAGGATGATATCCAGTGTCATCTTCTTTCCGTTTAAAAAAAAAAAAAAAAAAAAAAAAGAATGAAACGTAATGAATATCGACTCTGGTTCAAAGTTTAAACTTGTGTGAACATTTAGAGGTCAAGAGGAAAGTTCTAAAGGAGCTCAGAGTCGATAACTATTTATTTTTGTTTACAACTTTTAACTGTTTAATTACAAATTAATGTAGAGAAGGTAAAGATTGCAAAAAACGGTTAAAAGGACAAGTAGATTAACAGGACTACAGAGGAGTGGATGGTGCTTACCGAAGATGGGCAGGAGCCTGGGTCATAGTTGGTTGAAATTGAATTGAGTGTATTGAATTCAATTGACACATCCTCTCTTTCTCTCTTTACATTAATTATTTTTTTCTTTTTACACTGATCTCTCGCTCGCTCACTTTATATTCTTCCGAATAATAACATTCCTTTAGCACAATTATTAGCTTAGCACTCTTAGGCGTAGTACTTACTATAAATACAAAAAAATGATAATATAAAAAATGAACGATTTTTTTTTCATAAAAATTGACAATTATCTGAAAAAAAATTATTTTACGCAGCGCAGTCTTATATTTAAATGAAGTATCACTTGCTTGTTGTTGATCAATTTAAAAAAAAAAAAAAAAATGCTCTCAGGATTCGAACCCAGTTCTCCTCTAAGCGTATAAAACGACTTTTTCTCGACACTAATGTAAATTTCGAGTGCTACCACATAGACGCAAAATTTTTTTTTTATTTAATTAATCAACAAACAAAGAAGCAATACCTTCAATAATAAAGGTAAATAAAATCTTAATAATACGTTTTTAAATAATTTTATTTTGTATTAAACACGCCTAGCTTCAACAAAGTGATACAATTTAGCCAAGTGCTTGCTAAGCACATTAAGATACCATCTTTCACCTAATGTACTTGCTAACCATACATTACAATTATATTAATAATAATAATAATTATTTTAATCATTATTATTAATATAGAGTCTTAAAATAAGAAAAAAAACCAATAATGTCTTGATTAACTTACACTATACTGATTTACATTAAAATATTATAATTATTTTTTTTATAATTATTGTTATTCTAATTTCACATTTCATAACACTCGTACTGCAATAAAACCAGACTATCAAATAAAAAAATTCTATAAAAGATTTCTTCACGGTCCCGGTTGGTTAAACCATTCAGAACGCTACTAATTGTAAGATTGAGCACGCAATTTATATTTTTATAATTATTACTTTGACTTGATACAATGACTTGACACCCGACAGTTAAAATTTATCAATTGTAATTATAAACAATCTATCGATTTTTAATAATTTTAAAAGATCTACATGTAAAGTTGTGAAGAGTTGTGTTGATATTACGTGCCAAAGTTTAACGTTAAAACAATGAGTCATCGGATAATTTATAACTTTTAAATTGTCGGATGACTCCCACTGCAATTATGAAAAAAATTATTAAAAAATGTGCTTAAACTACTTTAATAGTATCGTTAATTATTAATCATTACTATACATAAGTTTTATACCAACTTAATGATTAATTAATTATAGAACTCACTGGAGTCGCACTTGTCTTTCTTATTAATGGTTTAATATTCATTAATTATAATTATAAGCTCGCCAATTTATTTTAAAATGACGAATTGTTTAAAATAAATTTTTAATTACTTGTTTTATGAGCAGACATGATTAGAATTTTTTTTAACGTCAGCGCTTATTTTTTATTATTTAAATTTAACGAATTAAGGAGATCCAGATAAAGTAGTCAAATTTTTAAAACTTCCGGAAAATTTGTTAATTCAATTTAGAAAATTTTTTGATAAGAGCCATTAAAGAACAATAATAATAATTACTAATTATTAAGTAAGTGTAAATACTTCAGTGACGCTGCGAGGATCAGAAGATAATTATAAAAATTTTTTCTAGTTATAATTTAGAAGTAAAAGAAATTTTTTATTATTTTAGATTTTTTAAAAGCAGTTTTGTTTTGTAAAATAAAATTTATCAACAGAAAATTTTTTCCGAATGTAAAAAAAAAAATTGATTTAGATGTCAGTGAGACTCGAACCCGGTTCTCACGTGTTTATTATAATGCGACTCTAACTCTTCGCCACTGCAATTTTAGTAAGGTCTTTAAAAATGAAAAATTTTTTTCTTACAATAATTTTCAACTGTTTTGAAGTTGAAAAAGTTGAAGAATCTTTTAAAAAAAAATTTTAAGAATCCATAACAAAAGTATTTCTACGTATTATTTTTTTTATAGACATTCTTTACACTAGGAGGGTACTTGGATCTCCTTAATTAGACATACATAATTTTTCGTACAATCAAGAATTATGAACTTCATTTAATATAATTAATACATTAAATTAAATAATGTATTAATCATATTCTTCTTGGGAGAAGAATCATACACTAACGCCATCTAGCGAGTCTATAAATTAAAAATCATTGGCATCTCTCGGGAGAATTTAAAACAATAATTAGACACTAGATCACAAAAAAAAATCATAAACACTGACGTTGTACAAGGACTTTGGGTTAATACATAAAACAATCCGCCATTTTGTCGTCTAAAGCGGTCCAATAACCAATATTAATATTAATTAATAACCTTAGTCAATTATCAATATTAAATTTTATTAATTAATTACATGACTTTAAATACACACAATTTAATTAAGAAAATTTATATCCTCACTAAATCTACGCGATAAAAAATACATTTTTTTCATGATTAATAGTTATAACAAGTAATTCAATGTACTTGACCAAACAAAATTGTTTACCCAAAACGTTTACCAAAACACTATATCATACAGTAAACAATTTTTTTTGTACAAAAATTAATTGTTAATTTTTCTCAAAATTACCTTACTTTTTTTTCCTTACATTAATTAGTTTAACAGAAAAAAAAAATTACAAAGGTACTTAAAAAATAAATATCAAAACTCATTTGTAATTTCTTCACAAAAATCTAAAAAATAAACTCAAAACAAAATGATAAAACGTCTCGCGTTTTTTACAGTCAAAATTTTTCTAAATTACTTATTTTTCCCAACAATTGGCACACGAGCTTGATTTTTTTTTTTAAACATAATTTTTATTAAATCTAAGCGTGTTACCGTCATTACTACTAATTATTATTATTATATTGAATTAATCAATAGTTACAAAGAAAATGATAAGAAAAATATTGAGACTACACGGAAAGAACAAGATGACACTGGATATCATCCCAGATTATATTCAGTGATATCTTTGGTGAAAAAAACACCAAATAGTAGCTAAAAAAATCCAGATTATACTAGCTACTATCTGAAATTTTTTTTCACTGAGTATCATCCCAAATTATACTCAGTGATATCTATGGTGAAAAAAACATTAGATAGTAGCTAAAAAAATTCAGATTATACTGTGATATCTGGATTATACTTATTGTAATCTGGATTATACTAGCTACTATCAGAAATTTTTTTGTCATTGAGTATAATCTGGGATGATATCCAGTATCATCATGTTCTTTCCGTCTAGGGCTCGACTTGGTGAAAAATTATCAAAAAAAAAAGTAATAATAATAATGAAAAGTATGTAATTATACGGAGATAATTCAGTAAGGATTGTACTTGGTCCTTTCAGATTTAAATTTGCCGGAGTCAGTGGGTCCAGGAGCACCTGGACTGCGGAGCCGTGGAGTGAAAGTCTTGTGGGAACGGTGGACCCCAGTGGTCTGGACTGGTAAGGTAGCGGTCGCCGCGCCAGCAGCGCCACCTAGCAGCTCCGTGAGCCCACCGAGGGCTGTCAGGCTAGAGAGGGCGTTGAGGGCTCCTGGCTTGCTTAGCAGCTGAGCCAAGGGGATTGCGCTGGCCAAAGGAGAGGCAGTGGTAGTAGTATTAGAAGGGGAAGCACTGGACCCGCTAGCCCCGGGAGTGGTACCGCTGCCAGGGTTTTGGGTATTTTGGGCCTCTAGGTTAGCTTTCTGCAGTTCGACACTGGGGAAAAGACACAAATGTATATAAGAGGTCAGGGTGGGATTTATTTATTTCATTATTCATTATTCTTATTATATTTTATATTTATATAATTATCTACGTTTATATCAGTTTATAGTTCATTATATTATAAATAATTATAGTAGTTTATTAGATCAAAATAATTATTTTCACTAGAATTATGCTTTAAATTATAAAAGTCTTTGGTGAATACTTTTTTAGCAATACTCGTTTTTTTAATTACTTCTTTTAATTTTAATCGTTTTTTTTGTGGTATTTTTGTTTAGAAATTTCAATTGTAATTGATAGAAAATATCTTCTTGCGAAAGTTCAATTTTTAAGACGTTAGATGGCGCCAATGGTTAATTTTAATGGTGTCACGGGTGCCATTTTGTGTAACACTAACAGAAATTTACAATTTTTCATTCTTTTGTACAACTTAAAATTGAAAGCACTATTTTTAATTGTTATCAAGTTTCTTAAACAAAATTTATGCGCATTATTGAATAATTAAAATAATTTTTTGTTCAACCTTCATAGAAATTTTCCTAAAGATGCTTGTGAATTAATTAATAATAGCTACCTTGCCGTTACTATGTGACTGCCGTGACTTGTGAATTAAAAAAAAATTTTAATTTTGCTTTTTTAAATAATTACTTTTGTTAAATTACACTGTACTTTCTTAAATATTGATGTTTTTGAAGTTATAAGCTCATTTTGATGTTACACTTATCAAAAGCTTTCATTTGAGTACCCACATGCATTTTTTATATATTTTTCATATATACATATATATAATATATAAATATATGAAAAATTGATGTGGGTACTCAAATGAAAAGTCTCGATGAGTGTAATGTTATAATGAGCTTATATCTTTAAAAATGTCAATATTTCACAAGATACAAGACAGTTTCTTAATTTTGTTAAATTGCACTGTACTTTCTTGAATATTAACATTTTTAAAGATATAAGCTCATCCCGATGATACACTTATCAAGAGCTTTCATTTGAGTACCCACATCCATTTTGACATATTTTTCATATATATAAAATATATAAATATATAAAATATATGAAAAATTGATGTGGGTACTCAAATGAAAGGTCTCGATGAGTGTGATGTCATAATAAGCTTATATCTTTAAAAATGTCAATATTTCACAAGATACAAGGTCATTTCTTAATTATTGATATTTTTAAGTATATAAGCTAATCCCGATGTTACACTCATCAAGAGCTTTCATTCGAGTACCCACATGCATTTTGATATATTTTTCATATATACATATATATAATATATATAAATATATGAAAAATTGATGTGGGTACTCAAATGAAAGGTCTCGATGAGTGTAATATCAGGATGATCTTATACCTTCAAAAAAGTCAATATTTCACAAGATAAAAGGTCATTTCTTAATCATTTCTGCGCGTAAATTTTAAAAAGGATTTTAATAAAAGTTATTGATTATTTCATACCAATCAGACAATAAAATTGAATAATATAATTACTAAAACTTTTCAGACGTAATTAATCAGAAGTATTGCTAAAAAAAATGCATGCATTTGAAGTCTCGACTGTTGATGTTTCAATGAATTTTTTTTTTTTTTATTGTAATTGAATTTTCCGAAATTGTAAAGGAGGTTGTCGAGACAACAAAGTGTGAATAATCCAGAGCGCAACGAGACACCAAATTGTCGTAGTAATTAGAGGTCTCTTGATGCGCGATGGAGTTTAAAGTAAAAAGTAAAAGAGTAGAGAAAATGCCTCGCCGATTGATTGCTACGAGTTGAGCGAGGATGCAGTTGATAAACTTTTTTTTTTTTTTTACAAATAATTCAATACATGGCTCATGACATATGAGGTTTGATGACAAAAATACAGAAGAATCCTCGTGAAACTCGATAGCGAAATAATTAACGCATGAGCACTCTGCTTAGTTTCAGTTTTCAGTGCTTCAATTAGATTGATTCAATATTTGATACAATTTAATTACTTTATATAATATTAAATTAACTATTGAAAAACAGAGTGCAAGCATGCGATGAGTGCAGTTTATTGATTGATCTGATTTTTTTAATTTAAAATTAGCAAAATTAATTTAAAATTGAAATCGATAATTTTAAATAAAAAATTAAACGGTGAATTTTTTTCTTTTTAATTCAACTTTAAATTTATGAACGTGATTTATATACGAATTTGTTTTAAACAACTCATGAATTTAATCTTTGATCTTTTTTTAAGCCTTTGAATCGCGAGAGTAAAAAATTTGCAAGTCAATAAGTTTCATTAGAAAAAAAAAACTGCTTTGTTGAGTGAAAATATATAAATTTTTATAGACTACGCTTTTTTTCAGTTTTTTTTTATTGTGTTAACTTTTTTCATGGAAATTTATGCAGAATAATAGCAAATTAATAATGATACGCTTTCGGTAAAACTCGCGGACAATTTTTTTTTTACTAAATTATTATCTATTTTTTCCAGGAGGCAAATCAATTTTTTTTTAATTTAATTGATTAAATTTTAGTATAAATAATTATTCAAATTTTTAAAAATAGAATTATTTAAAGTCAATATAATATGCGTAACTATAATGGAAAAATATATAAAAACTGAAGAAATTCTCATTTGAAAAAAAAAATAGTTACGGAAAAAAGTAAACTGTAAAATTCACTCGGATTTCGGTTAATTTTTATAGTTTCAAACAGTACAGCGGATATCGGAATGGCACAAATGTAAATATTGCAAAACTTAATGCAGAAAGTCGGCTGCCCAATTTTAAAACACAGTAACTGCAAAATTTTTATACCTGATTTTTTTTTAGTATTGCTGCATTTTTTATAACTTTTAGACCTTAATTTCAAGTATTTTTTCTTAAAAATATTTATATTCAAGTATTTTCTATTCATAAATCAAATTTTTCATCAATTTGGCGGGTAAACTTTTTTTTTAATAAGAAAAAGTAGAAAAAATTTTTAAATGTTAGTTACTGTGTTTTGAAATTGGGCAGCCGATAAGTCGTGCAAAAAAAAAAATAAAATAGAAATATCATAATTGAAAAAATGTTGAATCTTAAAAAATTACAGTTTCAAACAGTAAAAATTGCCGTTTCATTATATAGTCTATACTATGAGAAGGGAGAAGTCTCACACTCGGAGAATTTAACATTTGAAACAGTAAAAATTCTACTCTTAAAATACATATTTTACCAGTCTAAGCAAATCAATAATTATTATAGTTTAATTTTTAGCGTTGCGTTTAAAATTTACCATTTTCTTTGTAAATATTGACGTTGCTTGTATAGAAATTTAGTAACTGTAGCTTATATTTTTTACATATCATGCGATCATTTTTTAGGTACGAAATGATAAATATCAAAGTCAAAATTTTTAATTATTATACTTTAACATTTTCGACTTTCACATAGCGAATATTACTGTTTGAAATAGTATTTTCTTCCATATAAATAATAAATTGTAGCATTTAAATTATAAATATTATAATGATTGTTAAAATCACGAGTTTACTGTTTGAACTGGTAATTTTTTCCAGTTGATCATTACTTATTATAAATCGACTATTATTTATTACAGTTTACTTTTTTCCAAAATTTTTTTTGGTATCACCTATATTAATATTATTTAAATAAAAAAATTTGAACTTATAAAAATTATTTATATTTATAAAAAATTTTCCATCTTCAAAGCAGTTAATATTTATCATGACTTATTGCATTATGTAATTTAACTAAAAAAATTGATACTGCAAATTAAAAATTAGGCCTATTTTTCGTGTAAAAAAGCACTATTCAATAACTAAACGTGGCGTACACATAGAAGCGTAAAATAATTAATTTAAAAAAATTATACTGCTAAAGAAAAAACTGTAAGCATTAGAAGCCTCTGGACGGGAATCACCTAGGATAGGAAAATCTGCAAATAAAAATTAATCGCGGAAAATATTTAAGGAAACTTGGAACTAACTGTGGAGCTAAATGGAACAATAGTCTTGAGGCTATAAATTTATCTAAAAAATGAATGTAAGTTTAATAATAATAGTAATAATATTTAGTCTTAATAATAATAATAATAATAATAATAATAATAATAATAATAACAATAATAATAATAAGAGGACAGCCAGCGGTAATAGGAACAAATATTGAGAAAGAGAATAAGAGAAAGAGCGGAGTTGAATATCTGCAGGATACTCAGGAAACTGGACCTGGAAGACAGGACCTGGAAACAAAGGATTATGAATTGATTCGCAGCGTCTCTGGTCCTTATTTTCTTGACTGGGACTCACTCCTTGAAGGCACCAATTCCAGACGACTAGACTTGAAGATTAATCTTGTTCGTCGCACAGCTTTACTTTTATTTTTTTACTTGCTATTTATTTAGCTCTCGTTTTTTTTACATTATGTTATCAAAAGAGGAACCGAGAGTTTTCCTCTTTTGAGTTCTACTTGCTTGTTTAACTAGCTCACCTGCAGTTTATTTACTTCAATGCTACTGTACATTGTGCTCGTCCTAACGGCCAGATGGATCTGTTTATTTTTCTTTAGTTTTGTTTGTTAAATATGCAGACTACAATTGCTGCAATTACTTGCTTTAATACTGACAACAAAGCAATGACGTTATATACTAGCTTGGTTAATTTGATTTATTTATAGACAAAATTATTTTTTACTCTAATTTTAAACCAAATTTTGACTTTTATTTAATAACAGTGCAGCTAAAAATTTAGAATTAATTTTCTAGCGTTGTTAAAATATTTTAGAGAAGTTATAAAAATTTAGAGTAATAAATAAGGGATTTTTTTAATGGCTAATTGAAGGAAATATTAAACAAATAAACATAGCATAGCTAAGCGTTCATTTTTAATTTATGTTTTTTGAAAAAAAATAAAAATTTAATGATTTATTTAATACTAGCACTATGTGACTGCCGTGACTTGTGAAATATAAATAATTAAATTTTGCTTTATTGAATAATGACTTTTGTTAAATTGCACTATACTTTTTTAACTATTGACGTTTTTAAAGATATAAGCTCGTCCTGATGTTACACTCATCAAGAACTTTCATTTGAGTACCCACATGCATTTTTGATATATTTTTCATATATACATAATTATAATTATAATATATATATAAATATATGAAAAATTGATGTGGATACTCAAATGAAAGGTCTCGATGAGTGAAACGTCGGGGTGAGCTTATATTTAAAAAAATGTCAATAGTTCACAAGATATTTGGTAATTGCACTGTACTTTCTTAAATATTGACGATTTTAAAGATATAAGCTCATCCCGATGTCACACTCATCAAGAGCTTTCATTTGAGTACCCACATGCATTTTGATATATTTTTCATATATGTAAATATATATAAATATATATAATATATATAAATATATGAAAAATTGATGTGGGTACTCAAATGAAAGGTCTTAATGGGTGTAACATCGGGATGAGCTTATATATTTAAAATTGTCAATAGTTTACAAGATACAGGGTAATTCCTTAATATTATGAGTCTAGAGATAGAGAATTTTCAACTGCAGCCTAACTATTTATCATAATCAATTGACTATCGGCGAAAATGATATGAAACCTTGAAAAGGCACAAATTCAAGTCAAGACCTTTACAATGACACTAAATTTCACGAAAAAAACCGATTTTATCATATGACTATCCTGGACACAATAATTAGAAATGTTTAAAAAAAACTCTCAAGAAAATATTTATGTTAAGTTAAAAAATTATTTTATTAAAAAATTTAAACTAAAATTCAGTGAAGCGAGCAATTGACAGTTAATATTTAATAAAAAAAAAAAGATATAAAGTAATAAAGAGTACATTAGATTAAACAGTAACCTAGAACAGGACTTTAAGAGCTCTCGAGCAGATATTAGATGCTCCAGAATCTCGGAATTCGCATCTATAGTCTGGATGATAACTTGAGGAGATACCTCCAGGGCTTGCGTAATTACTTATCAGATATTCTCGACACTTTTCGCCTTATTAATTACCAACTATATACATTATCATATTACACAACTCAGAAATTGCCTTCATTAATTGTAATAATGATAATGATAATTAAAAATTTTTCTATTATCATCACATTGGCCTCGTCATTATCATGACAATTAGCTTTTACAAGCAATAAACTTGTTACTCGAAAATCCATCTGTCGTTATGACGCAACACAATCTTATGTTTCAGCTATTTGTTGTATAATCTATTGTAATTATTATTAGTGATAGTGATATGGTAAATAAAAAACAATTCAATGAGACTAGACACTTAGACAAAATACACGCACAAGTTTTATAGAACAAATTATAAACTCTAAATAATATCTTAAGAATATATATGAGCATAAGTAATAGTAATTAATAGTAATTAATAGTAATAATAATAATAATAATAATAATAGGTAATATAAAATATATGTCTACATTTTTCTTCCGATTGCTTAAGGAGGTCCTTTCGCCGCCAATGTAACATAAAAATTATTAGATTATGAGTAAATTCAATTTTTTTCTAATAGTTAAGGCCCTTATTTATCTAATAGTGAGGTTTAAATTATACTTTACCGGACAAATTTTTGAAAAAATAAAATTTTTAAATGTTAGTATTTGTTCAGAGTCTTACGAGAAAGTCAGACGTTCGCAGTATTTCTCGAATTATACTATCAGTCATGGATTAGATGAAGTAAAAAAAAAAACTAAAAATTAGATTTTCGAAATATTCAGGTTTCTTTTTTTGCAATAAAATATATCAGTTACCGAAATATTTATTGGGAAATTAATATTTAAAAATCACAAAAAATTCTCAAGCAACCTACGTTAAAATGGAGTCAAAACATTTGGCAACATTGCGTAGCGCGCGAGCTTCAGACCATTCAATAAATTCAAACTTAATTTATTTATTACACTGACTGACAAAAATTTAAACGTGGTTAAGGTTATATTGTGCAAATGAAAATGTAAACAACCGAAGTACAGCGTTGCCAAATCACGGACAGGTTACTAGCAGTTGATTTGAAAGAGTCTAAATTTAATTTTTTTATTTAACTTAGTTTTTTTTTTTTTTATTTTCAAAATTTCAACGATTAATGCCTCATATACTATTTATTATTTAATTTTAGGAATTTTTATGGGTTTCTTTTTTTAATTTATCGTATATTGACTACTACAATTGTTTTGACTCAAGTGGAGCGAAAGGATTTCCTTAACAGAACACGTTTATGTTCAAGTTACCGTCTATGAATTTGCAATGAGAAATGATAAGAGTAAACATAAACATATATGTATTTATAAATGTGTAAATAATAAATATTTATGAAATTCATCAGTCGAGTAAAAAGATATCTCATGTTTTTAATTATTCAAAGGAGTTATTAGTTTCCCTAAGGAATATTTTTAATTAAAAATTTTCATCAGACACATTGTTAAGTTTAACAATTTTGTACTTTTGTAATTTAATAGTTAAGTATTTTATGATTGTAAATAAAATGAAAAAATTCCTTTTATTTGATGGGTTAATTTTTTTTTTTTTCTAAGTAAATTATTTTTTTTTTAAATATTTTTTTTTATTAGACAAATTTGAAAATTAGACTTAAAGTTTGCGAATTTTTGTTTGTTGAAAGTTTCTCAATTTTTTTTTAAGAAGATCCAGAAGAAATTTTTTTTTATTTTTTAAAAAATAATTTTTATTTTTTAGAAGCAGTTTTGTTTTGTAAAATAAAATTTATCAACAGAAAATTTTTTTCAAATGTAAAAAAAAAATTGATTTGGATGTCAGTGAGACTCGAACCCGGTTCTCACGTGCTTATTATAATGCGACTTTAACTCTTTGCCACTGCAATTTTAGTAAGGTCTTTAAAAATGAAAAATTTTTTTTTTATAATAATTTTCAACTGTTTTGAAGTTGAAAAAGTTGAAGAATCTTTTAAGGAGATCCACGCGAAGTCAAATTTTTAAAACTTCCTGAAAATTTGTAAATTCAATCTACGTAGCCTAATAATTAATAAAAAAAATAAAAAACAGGTTTCCCGGGTATTTAATGAAATAATTAGGTTGGAAAATTGTAATTTTTACATGTAGGTAAATGAAGATTCCACCAGCCGTGTAATTGGTTAAGAATTTAATGCAATTACGTATTATTCTTTTTAGATATTCTTTACACTAGGAGGGTACTTGGATCTCCTTAAATAAATTATTTAAAATAAATTTAAATAAGATTTGAAAATTGCGAATTTTTGTTGAATTAAAGTTTTCTAACAATTAATTGCCTGAAAATTTATTTTTCAACTAAATTTCTTTTATTAAAAAAAAAAGAATTGACTCGACAACAGTTGTTTAAAATTATGTCAACTTTTTAATGGCATTTATTTTATTAAATTAAATTTTCCAAAATTAAATATTATTTATACTGAATAAAAAAATTTAAAACATTAAAAAAAAAAGTACAAAATTGCCTCACTTATAAATAATAATGTCAATAATGAAAATTTTCATTAAAATATTTAAACAAGGATGATTAAAAAAAAAAAAAGTAAAATGTTAGTAATAAAAATAAAAAAAAAACTCACCTCATGTTGATAAGATACTGGGCAAGAGCAACTGCATCCGGATTACCAGTAATGGTGATAGTACGATCAGTAGCACCACCCTCACGCTCCTCGCAATTACTGATTCTGATCATAGCGCCGGATATCTGACGGATTTCGGCGATTTTGGTGCCGCCTTTGCCGATAATGCACCCGATTAGTTCATTGGGTACAGTCATCTCGTGGGTCTGGTTGTTGGCTGCAGGCTGTTGCCGATTTGTATGATTTGTACGTAATTGACTCCCGGCTAATGCCGCTAATGCTGATAGTTTGTGAATAATACCTTGATTAGTTTTGTTATTGGAGTTTCCGATAAAGTTTATTTAAAACTTACCAGCTGGATTCAATCCTCCGGTGTTGGCTGGCGCGGCCAGTCCACCCAGTCCCAGGGCTGCTAGACCAGCCAGTGGATTACTACCTAGTTTACCCATCTGTAACAATTTATCCGATTATATTACTCTGAGGCTTCGGGCCTACTTTTGCGAGTGATTAGATTCTGCTTCTTCATTTTTTTTTTTTTTTTTTTTTTTTATTAATTTTAAGATAAGCTAGACTCAAATTAACTGGGGGAGGAGAATTGGCAAAACATCAATACGGAGAACACATTTTTTTACTTTATTAAGTGTAATTGTGCGCAAAATTTATTTTTAATAATATTTTTTGTGAGAATATGTGATTTAAATTTTATAATTTAAAAAAAAAGGTTGAATTTTTTTGATAAAAAACTTTTTTTAAGTAACAATTATATTAAAAAAAAAAATTAAATAATTGAAGTACCTATGGGTAATAAGACCTAGTTAAGAAATATTTTGAATTGAAAGAAGAATATTAATAAAAATAATTTTTAATTGTAATAATTTTATTATTGAATTTAAATTAAATATTAAAGATGTGTAAAATATTCAATTAAATTTAAGTAATGCGAAATTGTCTGACTCTATATAGATAAAGCAATTAAATAAATTCGAAAGAAGAAATCTAGAACAAGGAAACTCAATCTGAAGAAGTTTTTTGTCTTCAAACAAGCTGTAAAGTTTTTTAACTAAGAATTTTAAGTAAATTTTACTTGGTTAAAGAATTTTTATGCTTGATTTAAAACAAAGGAATTATTTTAAATGATTTTCGTTGTTTGAAATTTCTTCTTTTGAATCAAGTTAATTATTCCGTTTGTGTACCAAAATGACTCTTGATTATAAATTTTTTAAAAGATTTAATAATTTTATTATTAATTGAAATCAGGATATTGTAGACCAAAATGTTATCTTTAATTTAAAAAATAAATTACTGCACACGACATTTTTTAATTTACAACAAATTAGAGTCCGTAATAACTCAAATGAAACAAATCTATTTAAATATACTCAAACCTCGTCAACAATATGTTTAAAAAAATTAATCTATTATTTTCTAGTTGATAATAATTTTTTGTATATTAAAAAATGTCATGCTCAGTAATTTATTCATTTTTTAAATTAAGAACTATGTTTTTATATTGAACAAATTTTAAGGTATTTATTAATTGTTTGATATATGTATTGAGTATTTTAATTCAACATGAAAAATTGTTAAATTATTTAAACGTCGGATGTTAAAATAAATGAAATAAAAAACATAACATCATTTTGGTTTACAATATTATGATTTCAATTAATTAATTATATAAGAATTTAAACTTGAATGGAGCAAAAAAATAATAATTTTATTTGAGGTAAAAACTAGAATAGGACATTTTTAATTTTTGTTGTTGATATAAAGTAAAAATTTTGAACAATAAAAAAATATCACCATAATTATTCATTTTAAATTATAAAAAAAAATTGTTATAATTAAAAAATAATAAAAAAATACTCTTATTGATATTTTAATACGAAGGAAGTTTAAATTATTTAAAGTAGACTAAAATAAAAAAAAGCTCTAATTAATGACATTTTTTATTATTCATCAATTTTATTATATTGATTATATTTTATATTTTTTTTTCTTTAGCTAAGCCTTATTATCTTTTGGTACTTTTAAATAAATTTTCTTATAAATATTGCCAAAAAAAAAAATCAAATGACTTTAAAACATGTTAAATTTAAATAAAAGCAACATTCGACAAGAAAACTGTCAGCTACTGAGATTTAATTCGTTTACTTTCCTCGGGTACCTTCTATATATCTTGTCTCAGATTCTTAAATAAAATATTTGTGAAGAGGAAACCAATTTCCTTTTATTTTGACTTGAGAACGCTACGGAGTAATAATAAAAAAAAACAATATAACAAGAAAATAAACATGAGATGACATGAAATAAAATCTCGGAAGAAAGATTTAAATTTTTAAACAAATAAATAAATAATAATAATAATGAAACTACTAATAAACTCTCCGAATGATTTGCCATAATTTCTCTCTCTCTCAAAAAAAAAAAATTATTGTGCGATTTTCTAATCTAATAAAATCACCAGCAAAATACAGAAACGAACTAATAGTGTACATCTCTCACTGTCCATTATAATTTTTTAATAATAACGATAATAATAATGTGTCAATGATAATGATAAATATTATACATGTAAAAAAAATTATGATAAAAATTTTTTTCAATAAAATAACACATTGTCATAAAACACTGTAAGGGCAGCCCACCCTCGCGCAAACTCTTTCTAATAAAACTCTTTTAAATAATTACTTGCCGAGCTAACTAATTATTATTTTATTAGAATTTAATTAATTATTTTTTTTTTTAAATTTAGTCAAGTGCCGAGTAAGCCATGCTGTTTATTTTTTCTAATAAGAGCCACTAAAGAACAGTAATAATAATAATTACTAATTATTAAGTAAGTGTAAATACTTAAGTGACGCTGCGAGGATTAGAAGATAATTATAAAAATTTTTCCTAGTTATAATTTAGAAGTAAAAGAAATTTTTTGTTATTATTTTAGATTTTTTAAAAGCAGTTTTGTTTTGTAAAATAAAATTTATCAACAGAAAATTTTTTTCGAATGTAAAAAAAAAAAAATTGATTTGGATGTCAGTGAGACTCGAACCCGGTTCTCACGTGTTTATTATAATGCGACTTTAACTCTTCGCTACTGCAATTTTAGTAAGGTCTTTAAAAATGAAAAATTTTTTTTTTATAATAATTTTCAACTGTTTTGAAGTTGAAAAAGTTGAAGAATCTTTTAAGGAGATCTACGCGAAGTCAAATTTTTAAAACTTTCTGAAAATTTGTAAATTCAATCTACGTAGCCTAATAATTAATAAAAAAATTAAAAAACAGGTTTCCCGGATATTAAATTAAATAATTAGGTTTGAAAATTGTAATTTTTACATGTGAATGGAGATTCCAGCCGTGTATTTGGTTAAGAATTTAATGCAATAAACGATTTAAAAAAAATTTTATTTTCATTGAATTTGATTGAAAAAATAATAAGCTTTCGATTAAAACAATAAAAAAGTAGCTTTCCGAACGTATTACGGAGATAGTTTATATTTTTTATGAAAAATCACTCGGAACTTCCGTTCTTTAGAGTCTTGTATTTGACTTGGCAACACCGCTTGCGCAGTTACTCGGCGCATAAGTAACCGCGGTTTTTTAAGTGGTAGAAAATCTTAGTCATTTTAGTTAGGCAGTAAACATAAATAAATTTTAAGATTAGGGAACTTTTGCGGTGTTGTCAAGTGTATACCGGTAATTCAGAGTGCTATATTTTTTATTAGTCAATTAAATGTTAATAATTATTTAATGATTAAATTTTTCGGAAATTTCCTCAAAAATGTTATAAATTAATTTTAAGATAACAAAAGTATTTCTACGTATAATTTTTTTAGACATTCTTTACACTAGTACGGTACTTGGATCTCCTTAAAATTAAAATTATTTAACTGAGTTTCAAATTTTAAATAAATCTTTTAATAATTTTGAATTTAATTTTATTCAAAATATTGAAAAATTTTCTGTTGAATAAAACTTATTTAAAAGAAATAAATATTAACCGCGTATATCACCTGTATTTTTATGAGGAAAAAAGAATGAAATAAAGAAGCTAAAGCGATAAAATATAAGCAAATAAAAGTAAGAAAGATGGGATCCTAGATCTTCATTCTCATGCATCCTTGGACAGTATCTAAATTCAAATATCGTTATAAATTTATCTACCAGTCCTTAATACATAATATGTATCTATACATACATATTTATAGAATATCTGTTCAATATAATATAATATAATATTATATAATAGATCTATACTACAGCATAATACTGCATCTTACAAATCTTGTACTTCTTACATGCATTCATCTTTAAATGGCTAACGTATATAATAAACGACCTGCAATATTTATTATACGTGAATGAACACAACTTGTATGAGCATCATTTCTCATGTTTTAATAAAAGTAACAATAGCAATAATAAAAATAAATATTAATATAAATAACTGCAGTATTTTATCCGTGAAAAAAAAAAAAATTACAATGCAATGATTCAATATAATAATGAAAAATAAAATTTTTTAAAGTTGTGTAAATAATTCCATCGCGATTCGCAAGTCAAATTTTAATTTTATTAATTATAAAAAAATTTTTATTAATATTTTAAAGTTAAAAAAAATATAGTAATTTTTTAATTTTACGATAAAACATAAAAATTTTGATAAAAAAAAATTATTCAAAGCAAGACAAAGATAAAACACAGACAAGCAAAGTATAATTCATTTTCATGGATTTAATTTAATTGAAAAACATGCAAAATATTTAGATAATAATTCATAATTTTTTAGATTATAAAAAAATTAGCTGTAAAAATTATGAATTATTGCTTGTCAAAGTCCTCTCGCATTAGGAAAAATTTTTAAAAAGAGAGAGAGAGAATGATATTAATAACTATAATTAAAATAACAATATAAGAGAGAACTCATCAAGCGTAAATATACAAGCAGCAAGCGAGGATTAGCGTCAGTCTGTACTTGCAAGGCACGGAAAAGTGAAAGATGTTTTTTTAGTATTTAGTATTGTTGATAATAATAATTATTATTGTCAAATGATTATTGTTAGTATTAGTAGATAGTAGAGAGTAAGTGTGGTTGCTTAGTTGATAGTTTATAGTTTAGGTCCTACGTCCTGATAGCATTGAGTACACGCCAGGTTTAGTTCTTGTTATCCATTATCTGATATCTGATTGTGATTGATCATTTTGATTCCATTGACACGATGAAGGGATTCCACGCGTTAATTTACTGTTCTTGATTGGTAGCTCAATTATGTTTTGCTTAGTGACTTGTGATTGTAATTCTAATTTGGTGATTAGACGATGATACTGATTTTTTTAGATTTCATTTTTAGAGCAGTCAGTTATGAGAATTACGTTTTTTACTACTTTTTTTTAATAAGTATTAAGCTATAAAAAATTTTACATAGTACTAATTTTAAAATTTTCATATATTTATATATATTCAAAATTTATCACAGTATATATGTCTTGTTTTGATAAAATTTAAAAAACATTGAATATCATATAAGAAAAAAACAATAATAAATTAATTTATACTACTTTGACAATTTTCAAGTTTAATTTATTTAATTTTAATAAAAATTTGAAATTTGGTGTCATTATAAAGGATTTGCATTTGTACCTTTTCAAGGTTTCATTTCATTCTCACCGATAGTCAATTTATTATGATAAGTATCTAGGCTGCATTGAAAAATGATCGATATTTAGATACGTAATTAAGAAATGACCTTTTATCTTGTAAAATATTAACATTTTTAAAGATATAAGCTCATCTCGATGTTACACTTATCAAGACCTTTCATTTGAGTACCCACTTCAATTTTTCAAATATTTATATATATTATATATATGTATATATGAAAAATATATCAAAATGCATGTGGGTACTCAAATGAAAGCTCTTGATAAGTGTAACATCGGGATGAGCTTATATCTTCGAAAATATCAATAATTAAGAAATGACCTTGTATCTTGAGAACTTTTGACGTTTTTAAAGATATAAGCTCATCCTGACATTACACTCATCAAGACCTTTCATTTGAGTACCCACATGTATTTTTGATATATTTTTCATATATTCATATATATAATATACATGAATATATGAAAAATTGATATGGGTACTCAAATGAAAGGTCTCGATGGGTGTAACATCGGGATGAGCTTATATCTCCGAAAATATCAATAATTAAGAAATGACCTTGTATCTTGTGAACTATTGACATTTTTAAAGATATAAGCTCTTCCTGATGTTACACTCATCGAGACCTTTCATTTAAATACCCACATTAATTTTTCATATATTTATATATATTACATATATGTATATATGAAAAAAACTATTGACATTTTTAAAGATATAAGCTCATCCTGACATTACACTCATCGAGACCTTTCATTTGAGTACCCACATCAATTTTTCAAATATTTATATATATTATATATATGTATATATGAAAAATATATCAAACTGCATGTGGGTACTCAAATGAAAGCTCTTGATGAGTGTAACATCGCGATGAGCTTATATCTTCAAAAATATCAATATTTAAGAAAGTACAGTGCAATGTAACTAAAGTCATTTTTTAATGAAGCAAAATTTTATTTATAGTTCACAAGTCACGCAGTCCCATAGTGACTGCAAGATTGCAAGTAAATATTAAAAAGTAAAAATGAAAAAAATAAAAATAATTGTAATGAATTAATCAATATCTGACTACTCCAAAAAATCATAAATTCAATTTTAATAAAAATCCCATCATCACATCAAATTAAAAAAAAAAAAAAATGACCAAGTCCGGTACCGTCGGTCTATCAAAAATTTAGATAAATAAAAATTAGTAGGGGTGGGGGGGCAAACGTCGTTAAGTATGCAAGTAAAAAACGGTCTGTAAGATAAAACGGTGACAAAGCGGTAACTTGTAACTGGGGTGTAAGGGGGTTGGGGGCAGGTGAGGGGTTGGGGGTTGGATCACGAAAAACAAAAGACTTACGGCGTCTGCCAAGAGTGCGGGCGGGAGGGCTGCCTGCAAGTGTCCACTCTTCAGCAGGGGATCGGCGAGGCCTGCCACGCTGGCGTGTAGGGAACTCGGGTGTAGCGGATGATGGTGGTGGTGGTGGTGATGGGGTAGTGGTCCGGCAGTGAGATGCCCCGGAAGTAGCGGATGATGACCGTGTGAAGCAAAAGGTGAGGAGGGGTGGGCAGCCGCGAAATGCGATGGGGTAAGAGTTTGGTTGAGCGAGGGCGGGGGGGCAGGCCCGGCAGCGGATGCCTGCAATGGCAATACTGTACTTACGTCCGAGTGGGCGGGCACCGCGTAATTACCCTGGATGGTGTAAGCTTGCCCACCAGCCAGGATCACTGGCCCACCGACTTGGGGTTTGGGGCGATAAGGAATCGTGGCACCTTTGGGAGGGGACTGCAACAGATAAAAAAAAACAACAAACAGTTGCGCGTTTTTGTGCGCATTATTAGTATTTTATATTTATAATTATTTACTTAATACAACGTCTAATTGGTTTAAGACGTTTTATTTTTTAATTGCTCTGAGTATCAAGAGATTTCATTTACTGCGTATGATTATTTTATCCAATTTGCTGATTTATTACAAGCATTAAGATAATTTATTTATTTTTTTTTAATTATCACTGAAAAAAAACTTTTTTTCCACCCAGGAAATTTTTCCCTCCAGTAAAGAAAATTGTATTCCTATGTAAAAAATTTCAAATTTTTTTTTTCTACACTAAAAAGTATAAGTAGTGGTTTTTATTAAAAAAAAACTTGGTTTCTTCCTCAGCAAAATACCAAAATAAAAATTTGACTGACTGAACCTCATTTGACACAAATGCAAATTATGGGTTTATAATAGTGTGGATCTTTTTTATTAAAATTAATAAATGTTAATTTATCAATTATAATTAAATGTAGAAAAATCAAATTAAATTTGAGAAAATTTAATTCATCATATTAATTCAATTAAAAAAAAACATTTAATTAATTATTGATTAAATAAAATAATAAATTAATTAAAAATACCAGTTTTTTTATATTAAGAAACGTATATTGGATATAAAAAAACTTGGATAAAAATATTTTGTATTGTGGGTGGAAAAAAAACTTTTTTTTCAGTGCAATGCGAAAGTATTAACATAAATTTTTTGTAAATAAAATCTCTTGATAAATATGTTACAACTTTTAATAAATTTTATAATCAACTTGATTAACCAGAAAAACATTTTGAAGTATCTAAAATTGCACGACTCATAATGGTGATAGAATTTTCAATAGAAAAAAAATTTTCTAGTTTTTAAACAAATAAATTTTTGAAAATTGCAAAATTTATCTTAATTGAATCATTTGCTTGGTACACAATTTATGTTTGTTCTGCTAACTTACTATAGAATAATAATAAAAATAATTGCAAAAAAAAAATATTTTGATCGTAGACTACTCTCTAAATGCTCCGTATCATGAGTCGTGCAAAGTTTTGAACCGAGAAAATCTTTATTGTTTTTAAATAAGCGGAAAAATTCTTGGTTTAAATAAAATTCATTTGAAGCAAGAAAATTTTTTAGCGTAAAAAATTTTCTACTTGATTTGAGAGAATTAAATCCTTTAAAATAATGTTTCAAATTAATGACATTTATATATAAATTAAAATTAAAATATTATTGAATTATTTTATACAATTCTTACTTTAAAACTCAAATTTTTCGAGCAAAATTTTCATTGCGGATAAGTTTAATTATACTTCTACTCTATGAACAAACTAAAAAAAAATTCATTAAATTTTGGATAGCGAATTGTATAAATAACAATAATATTTATCTAAAATTTATAAAAAAATTGTAACAGTTGCATCAAAAATATATTTTGTTTATAAAAGAAAAAAACAAAAAAAGAACAATTATCTTACCTCTAACATGACGCAGCAAATGTGGTATATGCACTGAGTAATAGACTCGCTGGTACCGGAGATAGTAACTGTACGTTCAGTGGAGCTAGGAAGCATTTCAGACGCGACCTGAATGAGCGCCCCAGTAACTTCCCTTATTTCTTTGATCTTGGAGCCGCCTTTGCCGATTAACGATCCACACTGGGACGCGGGGACGATCAGCCGTAGGGTGATTGGAGTACGTGGTGCATTGCCACCACCTCCAGCTCCACCACCCGATACGTCGTGAAACTGCGAGCACCATTCTTCGAATTTCTTGCAGATCAGGGTGAAAGCTTTGAAAATTGAATTGGTCGGTCCGGTTACTGTCACTATCCGCTCAGGACACGAACCATCTGATATGTTTATCTTTGCACCAGACTACAAAATAAAAAAAAAATTTTTTTAATAACATTATTCATTTATAGTCATATATATTTTTATTTATTTATTTATTTATTCTTTGATTTTAATGCCAAGGTAGGATAGTCAAAAATGGCAAAAGTATACAAAGAAAATTATAATTAAGTACACACATGAATAATGAAGATATAAATTTAAAAATTTTAGATATTAAGAAAAAGTTCTTTTTTTTTTTTAATTTGGAATGTAGTTATGATAAATTTAAATATAAAAATTTAAAAATCAAGAGTTAAACTCAGTGGTGCAAAATACAATAAAAATCATAATTTAAGATGATAAACTCATGTAACAAAAATGTGTGAATGAGTACCTATCAATAATTAAAAATTAAGAATTTTCAATAGTTTACTTAAAATTTATGCAATTATTACTAGTAAATTTTTTATTCCAAGTAAAATATTTTAACAAAACTAATCTTGTTTAGATTGAAAGTTCAGAAATGCGATAAACCTAAAATAAACTATATAATAATCTTGATTTTTTCTTATTTTACTTTCAGATAGCTAAGAGCAACAATCTGGTAGAAAATAGAAATTTTAATCCTCGTCATTCATTTGTAATTTATAAAAAAACTTTAAATATGAGTTCGATCAGCTGTTACTATCATCGCCATTTTTTTGCTGACAAAACTATTCCGTAGTGACTCTATTGTACTATGTTTAAACTATTTTGGCGGCTAATTTAAAAAAAAATTAAAATGTGTAAGTTTCTTTGACATTTTTTTAAAATTATAAATTTCTAAAAAAAAAAAAATAAATGAAAAATAACTATCTTCGTATGCAAAAAAATTGTGTTTCATAACTAATCGGTCTTTGTTATAAATATGATTTGATAATTAATTTCTAATGGAAAATTGGAAATTTATTACAAAATTTTAAAAACATTGAGTTGAATTTCATGAATTTTTTTTCAGAATAATGTAAAATTGCTATTATTAATATAATATTATAATAACTTGTTTATAATATGATACATCTATTGTAAGACTATGTCTTATAATTTTATATAAATTATTATTATTCTTTAGTTAAATGTGTCATTTAGATTTACAATTTGTAACTTTTCGAAACCTTGTTATTGGCCTTGTGCTTTTAGGTTATTATTAAATAAAATAAATAAATTCATATTGCAAAAAAAAATTTCACACATTATTGTTATTATAATTATTACACATTATTATTACAAAGACTCTTTTTTTTCATTAATTAAATTCTAATTAATATTTCTCTTAAATTAATGTTATTTAATTTTAAATACTCTCTATTGATGTGTATTGCCGACAGGCGTATGTTGATTAATAAATAAATAAATAAATTATTGTAAAAAATTGAATTTTTATTAATTGATTATAAATCTGTTATTCAAAAATTTAACTTAAAAAATGAAATTTATGAGACTAATTTATTCGCGCTCTTAAACTTTGAACTTATAAAATAAATTAATTAAAAAAAACTTACTTCTTCCCGGAACCTTGTGACAATTTCACCCTTTTTACCAATGATACTTCCGACTTCCTGCAATCATAAAAAATTTTTAATTAATTATCTGCACTGATATCAACTAAAATAAAAAAACAAAAAAAATGCCGACATAAGGAAGAGTGTCGCCGTTTCTTTGGTGTAAACTCTTACTCTATAATTAGACATGTCCAGGCTAAGAGCCAGGTCGGTTTAGTTAGTGGTCCCGACACGGTTTGACCCCGTGATAATGTCAGCGAATATATTTTGGCGGCAGAAAATACCTTCCCAGCTGACTAATAAACTCGCCGTGAGAGAAAGAGACAAAGTGAGAGAGAGAGGTAAAATAAGTGTCTAGCATAACAGAGTAGTAGTAGTACAATAAAATAAAAGCAAGACCGCTAGTGACAAATAAAATGAAGTAAAGTATGCAATGCTGTCCATAAACTATAAATTTAGCTCACCAGAAGCAGACATTATATTGAAAATAGTCCCAGCCGGCAGCGTGTTAATGGCGCCGTCGACAACTATCTGAGTGTTTAAGTATAATAGTATGTAAGTACACAATTATCATAATTATTGTGTGTTGGATTCTCGAAAATAAATCCCAACACTCAGCGATATTTTATCTCGAGTATTAGACAGATATGTGTTGTGCATATCTTTCAGCAAACGCTCACGTTGTTCTTCCCTCAATGTGCAAATCCAGATCAAGGTCCCTGATGATCATTTTGATGATGATGTGCGTCATAATAAGCATCAAGAGCAAGATGAAGAATATAGCCGCGGTTTAAGTTGTTCAAAAATCAATGTCTAGTGTTTAGAGCACGAATAGGAGCTTACATTATACTTAGTGCATTGTGCTCAGATCTATGCCAGAGTGAATTGCGAGATAGATGTTAATTTGGTGGTCTATGCTCGGGATATTAAGGAAAATCCAGTGGGATATCATGCAAATTGCTCGTTCAATCACCGGCGTTCGAGCTTTCCAATGTGTATATTTAAGCCCCAATTAGAGTATAGCCGCGGGAATTACAAGTGCTTTCGATGATAACACTCAAACGGAAGCGTTTTTTTGCTCGCTAATGATCTTCAAATCAATTTTTTTATCAATTTAAATGTATATATTCAAGTATTGAGAAATTTAATGTATAGATTGATTATAATTTGTTTTATTTTTACTCAAGATAAAAAAGTTTTTAGTTTACCACGGCAGGCTAATTGCTTCTACAAAGAACAAAAAATTTCCATGAATCAAGTATATAATTTTGAAGAACTTGATATTCTTGATTTGAGTAGAAAAATTCTTAATTTAAGAAAATTTTACTTGATTCAAGAATTTTTTTCTTGAATTAATTAGAAGTTTAATTAATTAACTAATTAATTAAAAATTAATTAGAAGTTTAAATAGTTATTTGTTGAAAAACTTCTCTTAACTAAATTTGTACTTCATCTTATGCTATTTTACGCAGAATTTAATAAATTACATTAGTATTATCATTATCATTTTCATATTTATTTCATCGCTGTTTATTAAAAGTTAAAAGACTAAGAAATTTTAATTAATTTCTTTAGAATATTTTAATTAATATTTAATCGTGAGAACTTTATATTACATTGCTTGCAGTAAAATTGAATTAATTGTTAAGTACGCAGTTTTATCGTTAAAATTGTTATCAGTGTAAAAAGCAAATAAATACAAGTTACTCATTGTTTATCATTTGTATACTTGTAATGATAATTTTTATAAATAAAAAGAATAATGACTATCACTATGTGACTGCTGTAACTTGTGAACTATAAATAAATAAAATTTTGTTTTATTAAATAATGATTTTTGTTAAATTGCACTGTACTTTTTTAAATATTGACGTTTTTAAAGATATAAGCTCATCCCGATGTTACACTCATCAAGAGCTTTCATTAGAGTACCCACATGCATTTTCATATATTTTTCATATATAGATATATATAATATATATATAAATATATGAAAAATTGACGTGAGTACTCAAATGAAAGGTCTCGAAGAGTGTAAAGTCGGGGTGAGCTTATATCTTAAAAAATGTCAATAGTTCACGAGATACAAGGTCATTTCTTAATTATGTAAAATTGCATTGTACTTACTTAACTATTGATGTTTTTAAAAATATAAGCTCACCCCGACGTTACACTCATCAAGAGCTTTCATTTGAGTACCCACATGCATTTTCATATATTTTTCATATATACATATATATAATATATATAAATATATGAAAAATTGACGTGAGTACTCAAATGAAAGGTCTCGAAGAGTGTAAAGTCGGGGTGAGCTTATATCTTAAAAAATGTCAATAGTTCACGAGATACAAGGTCATTTCTTAATTATGTAAAATTGCATTGTACTTACTTAACTATTGATGTTTTTAAAAATATAAGCTCACCCCGACGTTACACTCATCAAGAGCTTTCATTTGAGTACCCACATGCATTTTCATATATTTTTCATATATACATATATATAATATATATAAATATATGAAAAATTGATGTGGGTACTCAAATGAAAGCTCTTGATGAGTGTAACATCGGGATGAGCTTATATCTTCAAAAATGTGAATAGTTCACAAGATATAAGGTCATTTCTTAACTATGTATTTAGAGATAGAGCATTTTTGAATGCAGCCTAAAACCCATTTTATCATATAAATACACTGACCACAAAATTTTGCTTATTCTCTTAATAATATAGATAATAATAATAGCAACTTTTTAGAATTTTTGTTATTATTATTATTATTGTTTAAAATTTATTATAATAATATTTGATGAAAAACGAATAAATTCACAACTCTGTTCGTTAACCTCGACCTAAAGTAACATAAAGTGCTTGCATCTTTCGCAACATAACTTAAGATATTTAAACGAAACAGCCAAATCGTAAATCATTACCTACTCTGTTCAAAGTAAAGGAACTTTCAAGTTAAGTATTACCACAATAGAAGACTAAAGGAAGAAAGAGAGAAAAAAAGCCTTTGAATAACTAAATTACAAAATAAGTAAGTTTAGTTGAACATGTGTACACACATATTAATAAAATACGTCTGCACGGATTAAATTTTATTGCACAATTGATAGACTATGAAATGTAACAAGTTTGACTAGTTATTTCCGATTATCCGCAGAAAACTACAGGGTTTACAGAGAGAAATAGCTTATAAAAATAAGTATGTGAATAAGTGTATGTGTTTGTGCGGAGTATCCACACTAGAATCATCGAATAAAATCCCGAGATAGTCTAACGACAGCAATTGAGTCGGATTATATATATCGTTGGCTTTTTTATCGTATTCTCAGGATCCTTTCAACCAAGTAGTTGAAGGCAATGACGCGATTTACAAAACGAATATAGCCAGTAGAGAACATGAAGAAAATTTTATGAGAAGAAAGGAAACAACTTGGAGTCATGCCAATTATTAGGCTAACTATATATGTCCGTTTTATTCTCAGAAAATTTATATGGCTAATCAAAAACTAAAGTGCCTATTATTTTAGTATTTTAGTCTATTAATGTTTCAACAATAGTAATAGTAATAATTATCCTCTTAAAAATAATTTATTCAGTCTTTATGATAGAGATGCATTTTTTGACGACGTCTGGGCTCGAATCCTGCTCTATCGTGTTATCAATACTAAGCGTTTTTCTAAGACCAGCGTTTCGCTTTAAATAATCCGAACTTGATTAATTTGGACCCATGAAAAAAATTATTTTGACAATAATAAATTTATATTCTTCGTTCAAAAATAAATTTCTTCACGAGAATATTTTTCTTTAATCAATTTAGACCACGCCGCAATTCCTAACAAGGGTATCTAAATAATTGTACTAGCTAAAAAAAATTCTGCAACTTTTTAAATAAATTTAAAGTGAATTTTTAATAAAATTTTAGAATGTAAAAATCAAAATTTCAGTAAAAGTTTATACAGAAGTAAAAAAAAAACTTTGACTCAGGCAAAGTTAGAATTAGAACTTTTATTGCAATAATAAAAGCAATCTTTAAAGCAATTAATAAAAGCGTATAAATAACTCTAATTAATGATGCAATAAATCGACACGGAGAGAAATGGATGGTAGATACCACTATACCAGTATGGGCGAGAACGCCATACAGTATGGTATCGAAGATTTTTGTCCATTATTAAACTGTACACATAGATGATTCGACCATGCGGGAATGGTAAAATTGGCTATAGTTATCGCGGATGCCGCAATGCTAGTATAGCCGTCAGGCCCATACTGGCTTGCCGTATGTACAATTCTTCTGGTAGGTAGACCTAGCCAATATTGTGATTTTAGCTACAACATTATTGGAGTAACAGCAATGTTTATTTAATTATAGATGTAGGTTATGTCCGAAATATATTATATAAATAAAAAATGATATTAATTATTTCATGACATGATTGTTATTTTTTTATTTTTACTCTGATATGAATTGATTTCAGTGAAGAAAAATAACAACAATCATCAAAAAATTACAAGAATTTATGTGTCTTATTAAAAATATGAGAAATTAAAAATATGAGTTAAAAAATTATATTTATTAATTTATTAGAGTCGATTTGTTTTAATTAATTAAAATAAAATTTCAAGTGTGAATAACTAGGCCAGTGTCAATAACTGGGTCTTTTACCTTATATACACTGATAGAAGGATTTATTAACTATTAATAATTTAATTTATTTAAAGACAATTATTTAATTTATTAAATTTTAATGAATGTTTTTTAACATTTAATAAATATTTATTTGGGAGGAAAGTACATTGATGAATAGTTAATAATTATTTATTTATTAGTTAACAAATATTTATTAACAGTTGATAAATATTTTTTTGAGTAAATTTGTTTCCCTTGTAATGTCATATGATATGAAGATTGTTTATAAACAAAAATCATCTTTATAAATTATTTGTATTAATTATATTACATTATATTAACGTTTATTATAAAATACTAAATTCAGTAAATTCTATTACAGCTAATAATTATATTTTATATTTTTAAATATTGAAATCGTTAATTTATTTAGTGAATTGAATTATTATCATGTATTTCAGCTATAGAATCATAAGAAGTATCAAAAGAAAATTACTATTTTTGTTTTTTATTTTAAATAAATATTTGTTAACAGTTAACAAATATTCA